GACAAGCCATTGCTCGGGTGGAAACCGAAAGGGAAGCGGCGAGTTGGTCGTTCCACGGTGGGGTGACTTGGAGTAGGTCATGTGAAGAGGAGATGAAGGCACGTGGGCAGACTTGAAGCGGGGTGAAAAGGTTGGCAGAAAACCGAACACAATGGAGAAGTGCATGGCTGAAGCCCTATGTTCCTCTAGGAATTAAAGGATATAGTAATAATAAGTTACAAAGAGTGGATGCATCTGCGCTAGTCATTCAGAACGATTTTGAGCCCTACGACAAATTGTCTCCAGTCTTCATTGGATTTTACCATCCTGAGGACCCGAATAAGCCAGTCAGGGAAGTCTACACCTCCCTCCCTACTTGACTGGCTGGCTTAAACTAACTGTTGTGGATTTACTTCATTGACTGATGAAGCCGGTTTTTCGTTTGACCACCACCACTGGCTCTTTTCCAACGTGATCCTGTATCAGCTAACATTGCCCGTCAACGAGGAAGGTGATGGATGGCTAGGCATGTATGTGTAACACATGCCCTAACCATCTCTCTCAATCTGTGTAACCCCTTCTCTCTCTACCTACCTGTCAGTCGACTGCTGCCTAACCTCAATCAATATTTCTCAAGCTACTATATCACTTCACACGGGTGATAGAACGCAGTCACCTATGATCAGAGACAACTAATGAGTCAGTCAGCCAGTTATGCTTTTCATTTCTTCCACTTTCAATGGCCATGTCTTGCTGACTGCTATAAAAGAGAATGGAGCTGACTGGTGATTAGTACACACGCCCTTTTCGTCGATCGGCAGGTAGCTGAATATCACATCTGCTAAGCCAGAGGCGGCGTAAACTGGCATATGTGGAACGAGCCTTTTGTATCCGTGCTTAGATTTCGTCAGCGATCAACCCGTTGGGATTAGCTGATACAACTCCCCAAATAAGTGGAGTGATCAACATGCTCCATCAATCACTTCACTCATTATTTCTATTATTATTATTATTATTGTATCCTTTAGTTCCTAGAGGAACATAGGGCTTCAGCTGCGCACCTCCATTGACTTCGGTTTTCTGACAACTTTTTCACCCTGCTCCAGGTCTGTTCACTTGCTTTCATCTCCTCCTCGCATGACCTCCTCCAAGTCACCTTTGGATGACCAACTCGCCGCTTCCCTTTCGGGTTCCACTCGACCAATGGCTTGTCTAGTAAGGTCACTTGATGGTTTGTTTCCTCAGAGTATGGCCAGCCAATCCATCTCCATTTCTCCCTGCCTATTTGTTTCACAATCGGTTCCTGCTGTGTTGGTTCGCTCATTGCCAGAGATCCCTGTTGCTGATCTTTTCTGACCGGTCATCTGATCTTGAGTATTGAGCGAAGACAACTGTTAATGAGGGTCTGAAGTTTGTTTGAGATGCTCTTTATGACGCGCAGAGCAAGTCTCTGATCCGTATAGTAGCACTGACTGACTTCACATTGGAGTTGAAAATCCGGATCTTATTTTTGATGGTGAGTGTTGTTGACTTCCACACAGACATGGGAGTAATGAAAGCTTGTCTTGCTTTTCTGATTCTGGCTTTGATATTCTCGTCAGTTCCGCCTGTAGTTGAGACGATGCTTCCCAGGTAGGTAAAGGAGGTTGTTTCTTTCAGGTTCCTCCCATTTATGCTGATTGTTGTCTGTTGTTGCTGGTGGTAATGTTGGTCAGGAATCTTCATCACCTATCTCTGTTTTCTCTATGTTCACCTGAAATCCTATCTTTGATGCTTCTTCTGCCAGCGTGTTGCTTTTCACTTGCATATCTTCACGTTTGTGGGAAATCAGACATTTACATGTCATCGGCGAAATCCAGATCCTCCAAGTCTTTTGTGTCAGTCCATTTTATGCCTGTTCCCTCGTTGGTTATGGTCATTATTTCTAAGCTAGGAGTAATTAATACTGCAGTCAGCTTGTATCCTATTATGTATTGTGCTTGTAGGTGCCTTTTTGCATGTATACATACGATGTCTACTGGTATGTTATCAATACACCACAAACAATTTCCATAAAATGCTTTTTCAAGTTGTTTTTTTTTAATTTTGTTTTTTCCGTTGACTGATTGTACAGAAAATTTCGGCGTCTTTTGACATGTTGGATCGTAGTAGAAGTACCTTTTGATGATGTCTGACATCATCTATCAAAATAGCTTTCATAAGAGGTAGCACGATTTCTCGCCTCCGTATAATTCTCTACTATTAGAAATCCACTTTTCCCTGCTTTGATAAGAGTAACAATGTTAAAAACAATTAGCAACTGAACAAAGAATATTCAATTTTTAGAGTTAGTTTAAGCAAATATATATATATATATATATGTAACGGTCAGTATGAATAATACCTCTGTCAGCTGATATTGCAGTCGATGATTGATTATGTTACAAAGTTTTAAAAACATTTATAATAAAGTGATTCTGAAAACTACTGGATACTATAGATAGTAACAGTGTCTAAACATCCCCTCCCAGTGTACCTATGAAAAAAAAACAAACGTTCTTTATAACTTAAAAAAAAACAAAGAAAAGAACTTTAACGCATTTTGGGTTAAACCGTGGATTGATATCAGATAGAGAAATATTGAAATTCAACACCAGGGAGTACTGGACAGCCAGCTGTTTCGTCAACAGTACGCACCCGCTGCCAGGGGTTCGAACCCAGGACCTTCTGGTTACAAGGCAATCTCGTATACCATTCAGTCACTGGGTAACCAACTAAATAGCCGGCCAGCGAATTATAACTTCAACCAGTATCAGCCATTGTCATCGGTGGGAAGTCCATCCTCACTGGATGGACTGGATGAAACCCACTGGTTACGACTTCTCCGCTAGCACTCAAGACAAATTCATCCAGTATCCGGTCACTAGTTTATTTCCGATTAATTTTCAGGAATTAGTTTGTTGGGATTGTGTTTGTGTTTCAAATTAGAGAACTCAGTGAGTGTGTACTGCCAATAAGTCCCAAACTAGGCTGACTGTCCAGTACTGCCTAAATTTTTAGTTATACTCTAACTGATATCAATCTGTGGTCAGACGGAGAGAATTATTCTCAAATTTCTGCTCTTTCAATACTCTCATGATCGCAGGGCAGCGTGTACAATCACAAGAATATACACATAGCAACATGGGTTTTGCCTAACGGACACACTACGGATCAGATAGATTTCATTTCAACGCTGCCCAAGGAAATGGAGGCGCAGCGTGTTGGGCATGAAGTCGAGAAGGGGAGCAGATGTGGGTCCACTCAGTTCATCATCTAGTTCAAGGAATCTTCAAAGTGAAGCTAAAGTCCATGAGAACAAGTGGAAACAAACCGCGATTCAAGTTCAACATTAAGAAACTGAAGGACAAAACTACAAGTGATCCCTTCGTTACAGATATCAGAGCAAATTTGGATATACTACTTGCCATTATGGCGGAAGCCTGCATTGAAGAACATTGGAACTAACTCTCTAAAAGCGATATTCAAGCAAACGTGTACAACTTATTGAATTGAATTTTTGATTTTCCCGTCGATTGTTTGGACCGAAGTGCTCTGTCTCAGGTTGACATGTCGGCTTCTTGTGCAGATGCTTCGACGATGTCTGGGCATTTGATTAGTATACAATCGGTCGAAGCATCTGCACAAGAAGCCGACATGTCAACCTGAGACCGAGCACTTCGGTCCAAATAATCGACGGGAAAATCAAAAATTCAATTCAATAATTAATATGACCCGTTGCACAAGAGGTGGCTCTCGTGGCCCAAGTGGTCTAGTGGATAACGCTTTGGCGTTTGAAACTTTGGGTACTGGGTTCGAGCTTCGGTGGGAACATCATCACTCACTGAGAAATGCAGGTACATCCGGCTGACGAGTCCTAAATAGGACGAAATACGCATCCTGGATTCCACTGCTAGCCACCATCCACCAATTGTAAACGTGTACAACTGTTTTAGGAAGAAAGAGAAGACACAACAAAGAATGGCTCTCAACATACACCTACCTGAAAGCTAATCGAAGAGAAGATGATGGATGAAGGAGAAGATGCCTCTATGCAAATATGGACAATAGAAGGAGAAGCTGAGTTCAGTGTACACTGCATTGAACAAAACAGTAGAGAAGAGTGCTAAGAAAGACAAAAGACAATTCTACGACACAATGGCAACTGAAACAGAATAGACCTCAGGACACTATATAAGATAACCGAGTCTCTATCCGGGAAGAGATCAACTTAGATGGCAAAATAAATAAAAGATGCTCAAGGGAACTGGATTACCAAGGACAAGAAACAAATCAAACAATGGGCTGATCACTGTAAAGGACTCTTGAATCGAACATCACCTACAACTCACCCAGAAGTTCCACCAACATAAAAACACGCACAGAACTGCATCAATCCTCCAACGAAAGCAGAAATCCTAAATACGATCAAGCTGCTGAAGGCTGGGAAGGCAGCAGGACCAGATGGAATTCCCCCCAAAGCACTAAAAGCGAACCCAGAAACTGCGGCAGATGTTCTCACGCCAATATTGTTAAAGGTCTGAGAGGAAGGAGAGGTACCTACTGACTGGAAGAAAGGCTGTCTACCTTGCCAAGCTGCCAAAGAAGGTGACCTAGGCCTCTGCAAGAACTGGTGTAGAATTATGCTCTTGTTCATGGCAAGTATAATATTAAGTCTCATCATCCTGGAGAGAATAACGAATGCATTGGATACAGAACTCCATTTGGAACAAGCTGGATTCAGGAAAGGCAAACCATGTACCGATCAAATTGTAAGTCTACTCATCGTCATCACCTCAACTTCATCGACTACGAGAAGGCCTTCAACAGCGTTGACCAAGAAATAATTAAAATTTAATACAATAAAGCCATTTGTTATTTGAATGTTTAATGCTGTACTTCAACGTGGATGATGTTCACGAATACAGTAAATTTTTCGAGTTTATTTTCCCACATGATTTAAAAAAAAAAATCCTTTTTATATATCTTTATATATATTTCAGACAACTTATGCATATTGTATACAGTTATTAGAAACATACGGAAAGTTATGCGAAGCAGATGGTAGACGATTACCGCGTAATGTAGGACTCAGTAAAACACGACTTTTTCGTATATGGCCAAAGTTAACTGACAGACTGCTTGAATTGCAGGCAAGAACAGAGACTGCAAAGAAGGTGTACTTAACAACTGATATGGTATGTGTGATGGTTAAAATTCTGATGCAAAATTTGCAAGAGTTTTCTTATGCATAATATTTTTTTTTTAAAATTTATAATAACCTGATTTCACACAGTATTTTTGGTACAAGTATGGAATTTTCAGCATGTGATATTAGTAGCTTTAAATTTTGCAGGCCGATCATTGATATCAGATGTGCGTCGGTAGGGAATCGAATCCAGAACCAAATGCACGGTCGGCGAGCGTCCTAACCGCTGTGCCTTCTATTCCTTAATTATATTGTTCTTCCTTCTATCTTTTTGTGAAGTGTAATTATAGAATAAAATGCCTTGTGCAGTTGTATAATACTCTGAGGCACAAGAGAGAGAGAGAGAGGTAGAGAAAGTAACATGCTTCAAGTCTAGTATGTATTCCTGGAACTTTGTTTTTACTAAATAGCTGCTTTCTAAAAGTATATCGACCAGGACTTTATGTTCCAGTATGGATAAGATTTTATTTTGATAAATCACACAGTGGAGTGTTATACAGTAATATTAACGGATGACCACGTTTCGAGCATAAAATATCGCTGCTCATAATCATATCAAGTCACTTTCTCACACAACTTTCTTTCTTCACTTATATACATGTGGGGAATTGACGTTTAGATATTGGGATAAAAATCAATATGGGATAATGTACATTCGGAAATAATAATAATAATATGAGTGTTATTCATCAATTACAATCAGATGGGAAATAAGACGAGAGTTTTTATAGTCAAAATAAATAAGTAACTTGTTAGAATGTTGTGATGATGTACGTGAATTGAAATGAAATAGAATTTTGAGATTATTTATTATCCTCCTCTGATTTCACTGACTGGTGGTAATAACATCTTCCATATTTCTGGTATTTGCATTAAGTCATTTCTGTTGTATGTGTTGGGTGTAGACTCGATGAATAAGGATTCCGTAATCAACCTCTCTCTCCACCTACCTATATTCGTTTTCTGGATTCTAACCCTATCCCACCCTATTGTGTGGTTGAGCTGAGCTTTTTTCTAAATTACTTATCTTTTCAGGGTCAACCATTGTTACCTTAGCTAAATTCTGATAATGTTCTGATAATTTGACTATCCCTGACCTACTAGTTTGACCTATGTAGTTGACCTCACTCACAATCATTGCTGGGTATTTTGTAAATTATGCTCTTTTTTCTAATTGAGTCTACCGGGTCTTTTAGCGTACAGAGCTTGTCTCTGAGTGATTTTGTAGGTTTAAATGCCACCCTAATTCCTGTTTTATTTAGAATCTTACGTAGGGTCTTAGATGTCCTCAAATCAGAAGAGGATAATAAATAATCTCAGAATTCTTTTTCAATTCAAGCATATTAGAACATTCTAACAAGTTACTTATTATGACTTAAAAACACTCGTCTGATTTCCCATCTGATTGCAGTTGATCAATAACACTCATATTGTTATTTCTGAATGTACATTATCCTACATTGATTGTTATTCAAATGTCTAATCATCAATTCCACTCATGTATATAAGTGAAGAAAGAAAGTTGTGTGAGTGAGTAACTTGATATGATTATGAGCAGCGATATTTTATGCTCGAAACGTGGTCATCCGTTAATATTACTGTATAACACTCCACTGTGTGATTTATCAAAATAAAACCTTATCCAGAATGGAGTTACGCTCTACCATAGTGCCCAAGTTTTATACTTATATCAAGAACTTCATGTTCTCATATGATTCGACTAAGGTCAAACTAATGAATAAAATTAAATTTGGTAATGAGTAGTCATTTCGCTTCATTTTGTAATCCTTCAAACAAAACTACGTGTATCTGTGATTCTTCTGAGAGGTGTACGTCGTGACACTCTTAGTCTTTGTTTCTTATCAAAATGCTGTATCTTCAAGTGACTGATTTGTTCAGTTTCAATCAACTTGTCACCAAAGAGTTAAAACAGATCGAAGGATGTCAAAGGCGAAAAAGGTTTTAGCAAAAAAAAAACACTTCGTCTTTTAAGTAGCTTAAAAATCCCCATTGAGGTATCTGAAAAAGAGAAGACCTTCAGTGAAGAGGCTCTTTTCGACGGTGAATTCATTCAGATAGCTGTACAATCGCATTTATATAAAATTATTTATATATATGTGTGTGTGTACATGAGGTTTGTCAAGTTTAGATGATTAATTAGGTAATACAAAAATGATCTAATATTGAAACAAGGTCAGCTAGACAGCAACTAAATTAAGATTGAGTTAGTTAGTAAGTTAGATGACGTAATATAGTTGACTAAAATGTTTCAACTTAGGTCAGGAAAGCAACACAGGTAATTACAGGTAGTGACTGACTAGAGGTTGGGTAGAGAATAGTGCCATTTAAATTAGGACTAAAGTTGAGCAAATTAATTGAATGACGTAACATAAATGACTATAAATTGAGTGTTGGTGAAGTAGTAAGATAGATTACGTCCATTGCAAATGTAGTGGTTGAACGAACCTCTTCCGTAAGCAGAGTTCAGGACTTAGCAAGTGAATTGTCACTGCGTCTGTAGTTTGAAGAAGTTTGATTCGTACACTTTTAGGAAGACTACTTTGTATTCTGTAAACGACTTTGAATTTTGTTTGGGTTGTAGCTGGATGTCCGGAATCTATCAGATGTTCTAAGATAGATCTGTGGGGGCATCGTTTTTCTCCTTTTTAAAACCATACTGGTAAATGTTCGGTGATACGTTTAGAAAGCGAACGCTGGGTACGGCCTACATACCTGGCTCCACATGAGCACGTGAATTGGTAGATACATATTGATGAGGCCAGCCAGCATTGGTAGCTTATCCTTCACGTTCATACGAATCATAGGTTTCGCGGAGAAGGTTAATCGTAGTTCAGCTGTGAAGAAGGTTTTCTTAAGTGAACGGGACAGTCGATTTTCCAGTCGATTTCGTTCATGAATCTCCATTGAATTGAAGTTTCATGTAGAGGAGTTTTTTCGAGGCTCTAACCGTTGATGGCTTTTGTGGTCTAGGATTCATGGAGTTTGCAATAAATCGTTTTGTGTAACAGCTTCTCAACTTCGTCTTCTACTAGTCATCATTCAAGACTCCATACCAGATTGAAAGCGTTTATAGCTGCTCTGTTGATACTCTCCCAATTCTATTAATTTGCATCATAGATGACAACCCAGTCATTTGATCATATACACTAGTAATTTATATGAGTATTTGGAAACGGTAGTGCTTTCTAGCTAGCCAAATTGAAACAATGTCAGAACAACAGTCAGGCCTTTCTCTCTCTCCCTCGTGGGTCTGATGGTGTACCCGAATAGACTTGTATCAAAGAAGTGAATCCGTTCAGAGCCTCAGATTATGACCAGCGACAACTACAAATTATACAATGCGGGGTGAGCATTTTGAACTGAGTTAATCCCTGTACACTGCAAATGATTTAGGTGTTAAAAGAGTTCAGAGGTCGATTGGTGGTTAGGTCATTTTAATCTGACTAGAAGGTGATTTTTTGTAGAATGAGAGGATTTCAACTACTGATATCGATCAGCATTAGACGTCATAGGAAGAGTGTGAGTAAATACTGGGTAAAGAGTCGATGCCACATGAAGTGTTTCAGCATTTAGATAGTGGCATAAACCTGATAGATCTGCGAGTTAATGGAAGTTGGAGTTCTTGGGTTAAAGCGTTTCTTTCCGTTACCTGGATGGTCAGCGGGCTCGCCTGATAACCCATAAGTCCTGGGCTCGATTCCCAGTGGGGTCATAGGCACTTACTACTGCAGACGAGGCCAAAAATCGAAAACGACATTTCACATCAATGGCTGCAGGAGTAGAAGTGTTTATTTCTTAAATCCGGACTTAGTTTATGTTGTGGTCGTGAAATAACCTCATTGGACAATTGTTTTATTCCTTTATCTAACCTTGGACCGATCGCCGACCAATCAGAACAGTTTGTTGTCCTCTGGCCTAGCCGACTTTTAACATGGTTTGAAATGTATAATATGTGGTGCGTTTTCCCTGAATAAAAACATCTGTTACTAAGTCTCTTATCTCTGCTCGTCGCACAGTACCTGATCTAACTTGAGCTCTAACTCCAAAAGCTTTTTGTCTTGCATTAATTAATGTCAACTCTTTCTTGCACTGTCTTCCCTATTTTTTTTCATGGACGTTTTTACATTCTGTATTTTTTAGCTTCTAACTCGTGTTCAAGAATACCTTTTGGAATTAAGCCGTAGTCCACCAATATTTGATCGTAAATGTGGTTCACCGACATCTCAGGGGATTTCACCCGTTCCAAATGATCAAAGGTGTGCACAGTTGGATAAACTGTTGCAGGAGTTCTCATCTGTCAAGATAACTGGCTTGCAGCTTATTGATAAACTTCCGAAAGGACTATTACAAGAGTAAGTGGTGCTGAAGTTAAACTCCGCATTAGGGTTTCGTTTGTGGGAACCACAGTGTGAATCGATAATTAAAAAAAATAAAGTTTTTTCGACATTCAGTTTGACTTATACAAATGGTATCACCTGCAACCCATCGAGAAATACCAACAAAAGCGCGCACACAACTGCAAGTTGACACCAATCCTCCAACGAGAGCCGAAGTCATGAATGCAGTCAAGCTCCTAAAAGCTGGAAAAGCAGCTGGACCAGATAGAATACCCTCTGAAGCACTGAAAGCGAACCCAGAGACGACAGCAGATATGCTGACTCGATTACTGCAAAAGGTCTGGAAGGAGGGAAAGGTGCCTACTGATTGGAAGAAAGGTTACCAAAGAAGGGCGACTTAGGACTCTGCAAGAACTGGCGAGGAATCATGCTCCTATCGACGCCAAGTAAAATCCTGAGTCGCATCATCCTGGAGAGAAAAAAGAATGCAATGGATACAGAATTCCGACCAGAACAAGCTGGATTCAGGAAAGGCGAATCATGTTCTGACCAAATTGCAACTTTACTCATCATCATTACAGAACAAAGCATGGAATGGCGGTCAAACCTCTACCTCAACTTTATAGACTTTGAAAAGGCCTTCGACAGCGTTGACCGCGAAGTAATTCGCAAACTACTCGAGTACTACGGCGTACCCCAAATATTCATCAACCTTATTCAACAGCTGTACGACAACGGCGGCACATGTCAAGTAATCCACAACGGAAAACTCAGCGAAGCGTTTGGAGTAAACACAGGAGTAAGACAAGTCTGCCTGCCTATTATCACCAATGATATTCCTAATTGTGGTGGACTGACTAGATTATGCGTCAGACAGTGAGTGGGAAACGAGAAGACAGGGATATCCTGGACCGACTGACGTGAAGAACCTAGAAGACCTGAATTTCTCGCGTGGATGATTTATGTTTGATGTCACTGTCACAAAATCGAAGAGTTACAAGCGAAAACCGACAAACTAGTCGAAGAAGCAGCCGGTGAAGACAGGACTCCAAGTGGACATACACAAGACGGAGGTTACGAGAATAACCAACCAACCAACCAACCAACCAACAAAAACAGCACCAACATCCAGCGTCAATCACCATCAGCGAGAGCGATTTGAAAGAGGCTACTTCATTCACTTATCTAGGGAGCATTGTCCCACCTACAGGAAGTTGGAACGGACGAGGATGTCAAATCGCGCGAGAATCGGGAAGGCGAGCGAGAAACACATTCATCAACCTAAAACAAATCTGGAAATCTTCGTCACCCAGCATCAACAACAAAATCCATTCGGATCTGCAATACAAACGTCAAGTCAGTGAGCTCTTCTATACGGATCGAAAACTTGGCGGGCAGGTCACAAAGAATATTTCCAACAGCCTGTTGCAGACCTTGATCAACAACTGTCTTCGCTCTATACTGAAGATCAATCGGATGGCCGGCTTGGAAAGAATCACCAACAAGAAACTATGGGAACAAACAAAAGAAGAGCCAATCACCAAACAACAAATATGCAGGAGACGTGCAGTTGAAGCCCTATGTTCCACTAAGAACCCGAGGAAGAAATAAATAATAATAAATATACAAATGGTGTAATTATCCTTGCTATAGGTCATATGGTGGAACGAGAATTATCACTTATTCCGTCACAAATCTGTCACTTTCTTTTAAGATATAACTCCTGCAAATTGTAGTTTTCTATGTTTAAAACTGAATAGATACTGCCATCGTTAAGTGGTATTAACAATCATCCTAAAGATCGTTACAAATATTTTATTTTACCCAGGTATATGAAGGCATAAAGCTGCCTTTTTTAGTTATCGCCTACTATTCATTCGTTATTGCTAAATGGTTTATTGGTCCTTTTAGTGTATTCGTCTTATTGATTTTAAGTTACAGTGTGGTAAATTAGCGCGTTCAGGGTGTTTTATCAGACAATTTTGTCGAATAGGCTGTTAGGCACCCTCTTGTAAGAGTTAACCTCTTACAATAGTGTGACTATTCAGTGTTATAAAAGTTCTTGTATTTCCCAATGAATAAAAAAAACTAGGTGTAGACTGTTGGATTTGACAAGTTTATAAAGTGATACAAAGACTGCGTGTGTTTACATAATGTATTTTCTGATCACATTCATGCTGATTTGATCGTTTCACAGGCGACACGGGTGTTGTAGGCCGGTCAAATTTTGTTTTAGTTCATCACTGCTATTCAGACAATTTGGATTTCAATTGTTGGTTTGTAAGGATTAGATTTGCTTTTACGAGTAGTTATTAGTTGTTATTAGTTAGCCGGGGTTCGATCCCCGGCCGGCGCACTCCTTTACCTCACTGAGCCAGAAATAATACTGGTAAAGAGGAAAGGTTGGGCATGAGGCTAGCAACCCCATCCTTTAAAAATTAAACACTGCTACAGAAACTTCAAGCCACTAGCTTGGAGCCCTATGTTCCACTGGGAACGTGAAGGAAAAATTATTATTATTAGTTAGAGAACCATTGAAAACCAGGACTGGAGTACTGGACAGCTTTCCATCTTAGTTTTTGGGAATCATTGGCAGTACGCACCCACTGAGATTCGAACCCAGGACCTACCGGTTACAAGGTAAGCTCGTAGACTATTCAGCCACTGGAACTCGATTCATTGGCACATGAATTCTAACAGATATAACCCTTAGAAACCAACTTTTGAAAATTAATCTGGTCATCGCTAGTGACTTGCTACAGGACGGAGTTTCCTAGTGAGTCCTAGTGAGAAGTCGTGACCAGTAGTGAGGTCCAACCGGTGGTAGTCAAGCGTGAGGATGGATTTCCCACCAATGACATTGGTTGATGCCAGTTGCGCTAGAACAGATTACGTGCTGATGAAGAGTGCCAAACTAGAATGAAACAACACCCTCCAAGTTATAGTAATGTACACACATTTTTGTTAGTTTAAATGATTTCATTGCAATATAAATAGTTAAACTAAACATAGTTTCTTCGATTTGAATAATAAGACTCATTGTTTTTCTTTTTATGTTTTCTGAATTAATACTACAGAGATATTATAGTTAATGCACAAATAACTGATGAAGTAATTCGTGTGATACGTTTAAAACTGTATACATTATGGTTAAAAGTAAGAGAGTATGAATATGCTTTACTGGGTCGAAATTCATTGGATAATACAACAGCTAGTGAACTTGCTCCAGATTGGCGTTCACCAAGACTGTTATCACGTTCATCAAATTCTACAATGCGTCGAGTAGGCTCTATATTTGACGGAGATTTTAGTCCAGTTACAATGGTTTCACCACAAGTATCATCCGGGCAAGAAAGAAAGAATCGACCCGGTAATCCGCTAGCAAATGAATTGTACAATCATAATGGTTCAGAACAATCAGATGATAAAGGACAATGTGATACGGTGGATCGGCAACAGTATTCTACATATCAAATAAAACAAAATAGTGGGAATTCTATGATGAAACATGTAAAAGCAGAATCTTCACAGTTCAACGCTTTTCAACCAGGCAATCAAAGAGAAATCGATAAAAGCAATGAGGCGTTGAAACCTCAAGAAAAAGTGAATGGTCATGTGTCGAATAATCTTTTACACTCGGTAAGAATGTCTCATTTTCTTATTATGTATTTGTGAGTGTGTGTGTGTGACTTGCTATACGATTTTGATAACCTTTATATTATTTACATTGCTTAGCTAAGATTATCCATCGGTTAATTACAGACCGATAGAAATCTACCGGTTACCTTGAGACCAGTAACATATTGTGGTTTTTACATTCGTATTTCTGATGGGCTTCCATTGACACTATGGATCATTATTGAAAAAAGCTTGAAATGGCAGTCATCTCTCTATCTCAACTTCATCGACTTTGAAAAGGCCTTCGACAGCGCAGCGTCGATGGAGAGGTGATTTGGAAACTACTTCGCTACTACGGGGTCCCATCTACAATTATACATCTCATCCAACAGTTGTACGACAATGCTGCACGCCAAGTAATCTACAACGGGAATCTTACGGAATCCTTCATATTGAAGACGGGAGTAAGACAAGTCTGGCTGGCTGCCTACTATCGCCAATGTTTTTTCTGATTGCAGTAGATTGTATAGTGCAACAGACAGTGGGAAACGAGAAAACAGGCATAAAATGGATCCACACAAAAAAGTTGGAGTATCTGGACTTTGCCGATGATATGTAAATGTCTGATTTCCCACAAACTGGAAGATATGCAAGTGAAAAGCAACAAGCTGGCAGAAGAAGCATCAAAGATAGGAAGGACTTCAAGTGAACATAGATAAAACAGAGGTGATGAAGATTTTTGGCCAACAGCAACAACAACAGACAACAATCAGCCAGCATAAATGGGAGGAACCTGAAAGAAATAACCTCCTTCACTTACCTGGGAAGCATCGGTTCAACTACAGGCGGACGGAACTGACGAGGATATCAAAGCAGCAAGGATCGGGAAAGCAAGACAAGCTTTCATTACTCTCAAGTCTGTGTGGAGGTGAACAGCACTCAGCATGAAAACGAATATAAGATCCGAATTTTCAACTCCAATGTGAAGTCAGTGCTACCTACTATACAGATTAGAAACTTGGCGAGTCATGAAGAGCACCTCAAACAAACTAAAGATCTTCATCAACAGCTGTCTTCGCTCAATACTACTCAAGATCAGATGGCCTACCAGAAAAGATCAGCAACAGGGATCTCTGTCAGTGAGCGAACCAACCAGAAATCGATTGTGCAACAAACAGGCGGAAAGAAATAGAGATGGATTAACCATACTCTGAGGAAGGCATCAAGTGACCTTACTAGACAAGCCATTGCTAGAGTGGAACCCGAAAGGAAAGCGGCGAGTTAGTCGTCAATGCAAGGGTGACTTGGAGGAGGTCATCTGAAGAGGAGATGAAAACATGCAGGCAGACTTAGAGCCAGGTGAAAACTCCAGCAGAGAACGAACGCACTGGAGACGTGAGCGGCTGAAGCCTTATGTTCCTCTAGGAATTAAAGGAAATAATAATAATTTTGTACCTCAAAAAAAGACTCAAATGATAGTAAAAGGAGTGCAGGGGATATAGTTTAGGTAATTTTAGAGAAAATCAAAAACATGCAAGTGGATGGCAATGAAATAAATTATGTCCTTTGATGTCACAGCATTATATACTTCAACTAGTCCAAAACTAGCAACAGAAACTATGCAACAACTACTCTATAGCGGTGAAAACATAAAAACGCAATGTTCAACTTGGATAGAACCTTTAGAATTATGTCTTACAACATACTTCCAATTCAGTGCTCAAATATACAAACAAATAAAAGGAACACCAATGGGATCATCTCTCATATCAGGATTAATAGCTGAAGCCGTCATGCAAAGATTAGAATTAATAGCTCTACCTACCTATCTGTCTGTCTGTTTTCGACATACAACTTTGCACAAATGTGCGGAAGTTCAATTCGCCACATTCCGTGTAGCACGCGAAGCAAGAGAAGAAAGTACAAGAAAAGCATAATAGAAACAGTGAGCAGAGGTGTGAGACAAAGGAGTAATAAAGAAATACAAAACAGTTTCATTGAAGATCATAAGTCACAGGGAGTTGATGCATCTGCGCCACTGAGAACGATTTTGAGCCATGTCACCAATTGTTTCCAACCATAGATTTTTACCGTCCCGAGGACCCCAACTGGTCAGGAAGTCTACACCTTTCTACGTGGCTTAGACCAACTGTTGTGGATTTCATTGACTGTTGAGGCCAAGTTTTTCTTTGACCGCCGCTAGCTTTTTTCCAGCCTGACCCTATATCCGCTAACATAGCTCGTCGAGGGAGGCGATGGTTTGGCATACGTAACACATGTCCTAACCATCTCAGTCTTTGTAGCTTCACGACTTCGTCGATTGATTTCCCCTGTTTACCTAGAACTCGACGCCTAACCTCCATGTTGCTCACCTACCTATAATTAAACCAAAACTCTGGGTACGTTACGCTGGTGGTACATTCGTAGTAATTAAAAGAAATGTGATTTAGAATATACCCATAAATTAATAAACAACATATTTGAAGACATTAAATTCACCTTGAGAGAAGAAAAAGGAGAGTTAGACGACAAAGGTGTTCACCTTTGGATGGATTAATCAAAAGAACTAACACAGAAGATGCAGATGAAATATTGTTGGTCTTTCCATATATGTGCCACCAATAGCCATAAGTCCACTGGCGGCTGTCCAGTAGAATAACGATTTGAGTATGTTTTGTAGTTTCTAGACAACCTTAATACTTTATTTGTCACGAAAAGAGGATAATTTAGTTTGTATTGATATTTTTCAATGTCTATAGACATCAAACGTCATATATGCGATTTATCGTCGATTGATTCAACCCGAATGCTAGGTATCAGGTTGACATGTCGGTTCCTTGTGCAGATGCTTCGGCGATGTCTGGTCAACTAACTTAAAATCAATTGGTGGATGGTGACTCTAGCAGTCGAATCCAGGACAATGCGCATTTCGTCCTATTTGGGACTCGTCAGCCAGTGGATGTACCTGCATTCTCCAGTGAGTCAGTGATGGTGTTCCCAACGAGCCTTGAACCCATTGCCTATAGTTTCGAACACCAAAGTGTTATCCACTAAACCACTTGGGCCATGAGAGCCACCTCTGGTCCAGTGAAGAGTCCCAAACAGGACAAAATGAGCTCTATCCTTGATTCCACTGGTAGTCACCATCCACCAGTTGATTTGAAGTTACTGATAAGGCGTCGTCGAAGGATCTGTACAAGGAGACAAAATCTCGACCTGAGACCAAGCACTTCGGTCCAATCAATTGACAGGAAAATCTGAAATTCAGTTCAATAATTAATGAGACCCGTTACCCGTGGCTCTCGTGGACCAAGTGGTCTAGTGGAGAACACTTTGGCGTTTAAAACTATGGGTACTGGGTTTGAGTCTCTGTGGGAACACCATCGCTGACCCACTGGAGAATGCAGATACATCCAGCTGACAAGTCCTAAATAGGACGTATTTTAGATACTGTTAGATGATAAATATAACTGAACCAATAGAATTTTGTGTTTTGAATTTATAAAAAAGAAATGTATAAACAATGTGTTTAGTCAGGATTCTATTAGTTCAAATAAGGAATAAGATCCTGATCTTCCACACTAATGTCATTTCCGTGCTTCTGTATGGTTCAGAGGCTTGTTAAGTCATGAAAAGCAGTTTCCATAAAATCACTGCCGACTTTCATCAATAGCTGCCTCAGTTCAATATTGAAGATCAAGTGGTCGTAAAAGATGAGCAACGTGCGTCAGTGGCATAGCGGTTAGGACGCTCGCCGACCATGCACATGTTCCGGGGTTCGATCCCCGGCCACAGACGCACTCCTTTACCTCGTCAAGCCAGAAATAATCCCGGTTAAGAGGAAAGGTTCGGCATAAGGCTAGCCACCCCATCCTGTAAAAATAAACACTGCTACAGAAACTTCAAGCCACTAGCTTGAATCCCTATGCTCCACTGAGGAACGTGAAGGAAACAAAAACGTGGAACTCTGTCAACAAGTCATTCAAGAACCTACCGCCCAACAAGTATGACGAAGAAGAAGATAGAGACAGATTGGACATACGCTGACGAGACCGTTGAGTGAAGTCAAACGCCATGTCGTAGAGTTGAATCCGAATGAAGGAAGACGAGTTATGTATGCATTCATCCGAGGTTGATGTGGACATAAATCAGCTGTGAAAAGATATGGCATGTTGTATTCTCGCCAATCGATGCATGCGAACAATTGTGAACACCAATGTCGTCGGTAGAATTTAGAAATTTCAGAGAGAGAGAGAGAGAGGAAACATCGACAGTTTCAGGTAATTTCTAAACACCTGGTACTCAGATGAATCAGCGATTAACAAGAAAAACTACCATAGATCACTACAGATATTTATTGATGGCCAATCACAGAGAATTCAAACAATTTCAATTTTTCTAATAAAGTTTGCACTGAAGATCTTCCTAAGATGGACAATGAATTCTACACAATTAAATCGACCAACTCAGAAAACATATATTCGAATCAAATTTTTTTTAATAATAATAATAACAATCTGCTTTATTGTAAAAACAGTACTTATAATACAGAATGGAATTCTCAAAATTTGTCACAATATTCCACCTGATTGACTTAAAATATAAATAAAATAAAAAAATAAAAAAAGTAACCAGAGGAATTTGTCCACGCTTACGATATAAAGTCAAAAATGTTAAGAATGTTAAATATAATAATAATGATAGCAGTGAGTTTGTTTCAAACAGTATTGTCGATTCAGTCTGGAAATTTTAGCATGTTATTATAGATTATTGAATCTAACGTTCTGTTGATATAGTAAAGTGAGGGGAAATACAAAATTAACAGTTATAACACAGCTTAAATGATGTTTAAAGCAATTGGTTCCCTTTATGAATTTCGACAAAACAATAAGAAGACGTAGTTTATCTGAAACGTATAATGTATTGGCGCAACACATTTCGGACATTCTGATCACACACGTACTTGTCATACACAGTTTTTATATAAGGCAAGAAAGCATGAATAATTACAATACAGGTCAGATTGTGTACAGGTCAAGGTCACAAAATAATGGGTAGGGAGACGCAAAAGGTGTGGGTAAGAAAGATAAAGGGAGGAAAAAAAAGGCAAAGAAAGGGTTTGAAAATATTATGAAGTAAAATTGGTCCTTGGTTCTAAGTTGGATTACCAAGGCAGGTTTAAGGTGATAACAAATAACTTTTGGACGCATAAGACAGGTTTAAGTCTTTTAATGGCTAAGGCTTCAATGAATTTAAGTATGTGACCCAACCTTGTCTTATATATCGGCTTAAAGGCATTATTAAAATCAACCTTATGACCCGTCTCTATAATATGCTTCGCTATAGATGATGTTGGACATCTATTTCCCGGGTCAATTGTATCTGGCGATTTCATTTGTTGTTGCAGCCACTTTGGAATGTGTTCTGTAGCCCTAACATGCAGAGACCGATGGGTCCTCCCTATGTACGTGTCTCCACACATACATGTGAATTGATAAACACAGTGGGATGTGACACTATCGTTCGGATAATGTGAGGGTTTACAGGACAGCATAGTTTTCGTTTTCTCTATGAAGATAAGTTTAGCTGCATAATAGGTTCTACTAATTGCGGCCTTTAGTCTTTGTCTAGTGACTAGACTTTGTTGATCACCTCTGAACGGCAAGGATATGTAAACATCCTTTTTGGGAACTGATTGGATTGGTAAAGCTGTGTGGTTGACACTTCCATAACGTCTAATAAATCTCAGTGGGTAATTGTTATCTAACAATATTTCAGTGAGATGTTGTCTTTCTTCTTCAATTGTATCGGCGGTACATATACGGTGAACGCGCTTGAACAAACACTTAACCAACGCCTTTTTATACTGTAGTGGACAGAAACTATAGTAATTTAGATACTGTCCAGTCCATGTTGACTTCCTGTAGACAGATCGTTTTATTGACCCATCTTCTCTGCGGGTTATGAGTACATCTAAAAATGGCAGGCATCCATTATTCTCTTTAACATAAGTTAGCGATATACTATTTTGTGCTCTGTTGACCTGGTTTAGGATTTCTATGGCGTCGATCGGTTGATCACAAATGACAATTATGTCATCTACATATCTTTTATAGAAATACACTTTTCCAATTTCTTTCTCCACTAGGTTCTCAACATGCGACATATATATGTCAGCTAACAATGGACCTAGGGGGCTTCCCATAGCAACACCATCGATCTGGCGATAATGCTCGCCCTCGAATGTAAACTTAACATTTTTAGTACAGAGAAGCAGTAACTCTTTTAAGTAAGATGTAGATACTGGTAATAAGAAATCGTTGTCAGAAATGAAGTCACATAAAATGTCAACCGTCTGTAAAAGAGGTACATTTGTAAATAAAGATTCGACATCTAGGGAGAACATGGTTTTGTCTTTTATATTAACGTTATCAAGACAATCAATTAACTCAAAAGTGTCTTTCAAAGAGAACTTACAGAAACTTCTTCTAACAGGCTCTAGTATTTCCACATGTACACAATCTGACCTGTATTGTAATTATTCATGCTTTCTTGCCTTATATAAAAACTGTGTATGAAAAGTACGTGTGTGATCAGAATGTCCGAAATGTGTTGCGCCAATACATTATACGTTTCAGATAAACTACGTCTTCTTATTGTTTTGTCGAAGTTAAATGATGTTCACACTTATGGAAAAAATAAACAAAAAATTGATGGGATTGTAAATATAAGAAATACAATAACAATAAAGTTTGATGTTGTAAGGGTGGAGGAAATGGTTTATTTATTAGTGCAAAGAAGGTTAGTTCATTCATGTTTAACACTATTTTCATCACATAAAGTACTTACCACCAAATATGGTATAGTGGAATTTTTATACTTAGACGTGTGTGCATAAAGTTTTCTGAAAAGACTTCTTGTTTTGCCTGAGGAGACACAAGGTTGGAGCTGCGGGTACTGTGGTGGATGCTCACAGTCTGACAAAATTACTTCAGCGAATTTGTTGCATGAAATCAAGTACCTATCAATGACAATGTCAATGGCCCAATGGGATACCACTCGTCCTACTGACAGTCTTCAAAGTTCTACAAAGTGTGCCATAGTCTTTTCTAAGCAATCCGGGAAAGAATAAGCAAGGGTGAACAATAAAGAAGAATAAGTAAGACGCAGGAGTTGACAAACTGTAAGAGGAGGGGTTGGTTAAGTTTTGCATGAGTGCTTTAACTTCTTAATGCAAAAAGTCAGAGGGAATATTTTCTTTAGAAATCGCTAAGACACAGGAAGGCTAGGATAGGTTAGTAGAAAGAATTATTTCCAAGATAATTAACTTCAAACTTGTTTTCTATATCAGTATCATCAATTTTGCAAGGGTCGTAAGAACCATAGGAACTCGAATTCGATTGTAACTCGGATTTTGTTTACTCAAAGCTTCTTCCTTGCTTAATGGTACTTTGAACAAGGTCGGCCTAAGAATTAGGCAATTCACTAAGACAATGAAGATACAAGTCAGGTTGAAGAGACTAAGTTGTAGTCGGTTCATTTAAAAATTTGAAGTTAGTTTAGAGAATACAAACCTAATTGATCTTGTGTAGCCTTATTATGTCACCCCTTTGGTGTTGTAATCAGCAGAGGTGGACTGTAGTTAACAGAATGACTTGATGTCATACAACAAATTTGCCGAAGGAATTTTGTCAGACTGTGAACATCCACCTCATCACCCGTAGCTCCAACCTTGTGTCTCCTTAGGTAAAACAAGAAGTCTTTTCAGAAGACTTTATGCACACACGTCTAAGTATAAAAATTCCACTATACCATATTTGGTGGTAAGTACTTTATGTGATGAAAATAGTGTTAGGCATGAACTAACTAACTAACCTTCTTTGCACTATTAAATAAACCATTTCCTTTACCCTTACAACATCAAACTTTATTGTTATTGTGCTTCTTATATTTATAATCCTTTCAATATTTTGTGACTTTGTTTTTGTTTGTTTAATTTTTTCATAAGTGTGAAGATCATTTAAGCTGTGTTATAACTGTTAATTTTGTATTTCCCCTCACTATACTATATCAACATAACATTAGATTCAATAATCTATAATAACATGCTAAAATTTCCAGACTGAATCGACAATACTGTTTGAAACAAACTCACTAATATTATTTTTATTATCATTAATATATTTAATAATCTCAATTTGTGCTTCGAATATTTTTGACTTTATATCGTAAGCGTGGACAAATTCCTCTGGTTACTTTTTTTATTTTTTTATTTTATTTATATTTTAAGTAAATCAGATGGAATATTGTGACAAATTTTGAGAATTCCATTCTGTATTATAAGTACTGTTTTTGGAATAAATTAAATTATTATTATTATTATTATAAGTGATTTATTTGGATACATCCAACTTAATACAATTGAGGAAGTTGTTTCCACAGGACAGAAATTCATGTCCACTATCGTAAACGTCTTCTTCTCCTTCTCTTATTTCTTCAGTTTCAATGTCGATTGGCAGATCTGACAAGGAATAATCTTACACGTGATCCTGGTAATACAGTCGCCGATGCAGAATTCATTATTACTGAACTTGATCAATCTAAAGTTGAAGCTTATAAGTATTTCGATGACTTGAAAAGTCAATTGAATTCATCATCCACCAAAGATAATCAATCTAACGCTAAATTATCAAATCAGAATACTCTTATGGAAGCAAAATATCTCATCGACGATTGGACGGCTGATTGGCTTATACAACGAGAGAATCTTAGCTATCGACTTGCCTATTTAAATCGTTTAGCTGATTTACAAACAGACTTAGGCGAGTGTATTTCCCGGTTGGATCAGTTAATCAGAGCTACTTGTTTGTCTGTGAATTCAGCATCTACATCTTATGCAGATCAACAGAATTCAAATGGATTAAATAAACTTGATGCTGCAACAGTTTTATTCGATTCTGAAATCTATCAGTTGAATACGATTAATGAAGAAGTCAAAGGAATGCTACAGACTATACCGGTAATTTTTTGTTTACTTCTAATGTTTTTTTGATACATTTGGCTCCCTTGATTAATTTCGATAAAGAAAGGAAGACAAAAGTTTGCGGTATAAAATGAAATTGCATGGAGGATTTAATCATGAGCTGACATCAGGTAGAGAACCAGTGGAAAACCTGAGAGTACTAAACAGCTGTTTCGTCCTAGTTTGGGACTCTTCAGCAGTATGCACCCACCGGGATTCGAACCCAGGACCTTCTGGTTACAAGGCGAGCTAGCTCGTAGACCATTGAGCCACTGGGACCCGATCCAATGGCCAACCCATGAATTCTAACTTCTGTCAATTCATGACATAGCGCGATCACTTCGCAATGTCTTCTTCGATGAGTTACTGCCTCATCTTCAACCTGCTGTACCCTACTGGTCACGGCTTCCCACTAGAACCCCAGGTTAACTGCCTGAATAGGGCCAGTCACTAGTGGCTCTCTAACTGATGTCAGCTCATGATTAAACCCTCCATGCAATCAAACCAAACCCCTACAAAACCAATACTTGAAAATTAATCTGTGCTCACTAGTGACTGGTCCTATTCAGGCAGTTAACCTGGGGTTCTAGTGGGAAGCCGTGACCAGTAGGGTACAGCAGGTTGAAGATGAGGCAGTAACTCATCGAAGAAGACATTGCGAAGTGATCGCGCTATGTCATGAATTGACAGAAGTTAGAATTCATGGGTTGGCCATTGGATCGGGTCCCAGTGGCTCAATGGTCTACGAGCTCGCCTTGTAACCAGAAGGTCCTGGGTTCGAATATCGGTGGGTGCATACTGATGAAGAGTCCCAAACTAGGACGAAACAGCTGTTTAGTACTCCCAGGTTTTCCACTGGTTCTCTACCTGATGTCAGCTCATGATTAAATCCTCCATACAATCAAACAAAATCCCTACAAAACCAATACTTAAAATGAAATTGTCATTTTATTTCACAGGTTCTCATCAGCTGCAGACTACCTGAAAATAAAATGGTTATATAAATGATAATAACATACTTTAGTGTTTGACTGGTAATAGAGAAGAAATGCTATAAAACTGACGCATCCAAAATGAAAGCATTACTAAATTTTTAGTTTAAGATTTCATCACCAATTTATACGCTTTTAAAGTTGAAAAGAGGAGGGAGAGGTAAGACAGAAAACAGAAAAAAAATTGATAAACAGAACAGTGTTAGCTTGCAGGGTTCACATAGGAACTCAAAAGACAAAAGCGGTTACAGTTTATGAGATTAAAATTTGTTCAGTGAGTTGAGATCACTAAATTAGATGACTTATCAAAATTCTGTTACCAAGGGAGTGAGAGGTCAATCACACTCTCTTTTTTGTATGCATAAGTCTGGTTGGTTTAAATCGTTTGATTGCAATCGCTTCGGCAAATCGTAGCAAATTTGCTGTACTTTGTCTATTTAATATTTTGAAGGACTAACAAAATCTCTACGAGATGTCCGGTATCAACAATATGTCTGGTGATTGCACTCCAAGAATATTTGCTTCCTTTCAGGCACAGGTTTCTTGGAATATGTAACTGTAACCGCTTTTGTTTTTTGAGTTGCTATGTGAACCTACAAGCTAACACTCTTCTGTTTATCTATTTTTTTCTGTTTTCTGTCTTACCCCTCCCCGCTCTTTTCAACTTTAAAAGCGTATAAATTGATAATGAAATCATAAACTAAAAATTGCAGTTGTTTCATTCTAGATGAGTCAATTTTATAGTATCTCCTCTCTACTACCACTAAAACATTCAAGTATGTTATTATCATTTATATAACCATTGTCATTTCAGGTAGTGGTGTACAGTTGATGAGATCCTGTGAAATAGAATGACGATATCACATTTTATACAGCAAATTTCATCTAATGTTAGTATATTTATGCTTTTTTAAAATCGTGTTTCGATTGAATACAAACAGTGACATGTAGTCCTCTATGATGATGACGACTTTCTTTACTACTTAATTCACAAAAGCGACAAAAGGGTTAGTTCAGGGAAGTCGAACTGGTACAATCCAATGAAGAGAAGATTAGTGTTCATTTTATTAAATATCTTCCAGTTTTAATGAGACACAAAAATTGTAGGCCAGTAATACGACTATTCAACCTTTGATTTTTTGCAATCAGTCACACCACCTTGAACAGGATATATCAGTTATTTATAAAAAACACAAAATAATCGAGCAAAGATTATCTCCCTTTCGATAATTCCTCTTCTGGCTCCTACACTTATATATGCATGTTTATATACATAGAATATTCTAGAATAGCAGTCAATAACAATATTGGCGTGTTTTTAAAATAATATCGATTTGTAAAGTCAGATCACAATGGAATTACAGTTCATTAAAGATGCTTTAATTATAATAATAATGAAGACATAATAGAATATCAACTAAAATTGGTAAAATTCTACTGGAACGTTCACACCAAGACTATATGGCTCGCCGAAAGTGCACAAAAATGGTCTACCGCTTCGACCAGTACTCTAAATATGTTAAATTCACCATACCATCCTTTAGCCAGATGGTTAGTCGAACTCTTACATCCTCTTCATACCGAGTTGGTGAAACACAGTGTAAAGGATACCTTTGGATTTGTTGAAAGGATAAAAAAGTTGGCAATAAAATGATGATATCATTTGATGTATCTTCCTTATTCACCAATGTACCATTTATGGAAACAGTGGACTTTGTATGCGAAGAACTCAAAAGACGAAACATCGATGTTGACATTCCTCTATATCTTTTCTGATGAAAGAGCTTTTCTTGAAGTATACAATGAATGTTCACTTTCTATTTAATAAGGAACTATATCGACAAATCGACGGTGTGACAGTAGGGACAAAAATAGGACCCATTCTAGCCGACATTTTCCTTGCGAAACTAGAAAACGGGCCTTTGAAGGATGTTATTAATGAACTTGAATTTTATTGTCAGCACATGGATGATACTTTTTTGATTATGAAAAGTGAGAAGGAAGCAAAGAGCATCCTGGATAAATTTTGATGAGGTACATCCTGCAATAAATTTTACTATTGAGAAAGAAAGACTCTAGTATTCCATTTTTAGACGTCTTTATAACCAGAACAGAGGATGCCACAATAAGAAGAAGTGTTTATAGAAAACCTACATCAACGGGTCAGTATACTCATATTCACAACTTCGTGCCCTTCAAATACAAACTCAATCTGATAAAGTGCTTGGTTCACAGAGCAAGAGCAGTCTCCTCGAATGAATGTCTTGATGAGGAGCTTAATAATTTTAAACGGTTGCTAAGTGAAAATGGTTATCCTGAAAAGTTTATTGATATGAATATGAATTTGAAACCAAAGCAGCCGAAGTTACCAACAGTTCCGAAAAAGGCCTTATTCTTACAAATGCACTTCCATGGGGACAACATCAGCGAGATACTAACACAGCGCCTTAGAAATTTGGCGGTAAAAAGAGCATTCCCTGCTGATGAATTACCTTGTGTCTTCAAAACAACCCACTCCTCTTTTGCATTCGTTCGGGAGTAAAAGACAAACTGCCCGATTTTACCTCTTCCATGTGTATCTACCAATTTAACTTCTCCTGTGGAGTGAGCCAGTTAGCTGCATAGGCCACACAATTAGGCGTGTTTCTCGTCGAATTTCCGAACATCACCCTGCATGGTGGTTGGTTAAGCAAAGGACAAACAAAATCTATTCACACAGCGCTATTCTGTCTCATCTTGTGAATACAGAACACAAGATTGACGTTAACCAGGCAGCTTTCAAAGTCGTTTACCGTATACGTACGAATTTCAATTTCGCCTTAAGAGTTCGACTACTAAATATTCCTGAGGATGGCTGGCTGTTGGGATCCATATTAACAAGCCTAATTTATGCATCCAAAAGAAGTTAATTCAGACATTATCCTTACCTTGGCCATCTAGGTTTGAATGATCATGAATTTTTGTGGAATTTTCTTTAATTTTAGTTAATATTGTATTCGCTATTATATATTTATTATTATTATAATTCAAGCATCTTTAATGAACTGTAATTCCATTGTGATCTTACTTTACAAATCGATATTATTTTAAAAACACGCCATTATTGTTATTGACTACTAATCTGGAATATTCTATGTATATAAACATGCATATATAAGTGTAGGAGCCAGAAGAGGAAATTATTGAAAGGGAGATATTCTTTGCTCGATTATTTTGTGTTTTATAGATGTCTGAATGAATATCTTTGCTATACTGAAACATCAGTTACTTAGACTTCCCTGATGAGTCATATAAAAGAAAAGACGTTTAACGAAGAGTTACTCTATTTGGCGATATTATTCTCAAGCTGTACAACTACATATTTATTTACTAAATTATCTTAGAAACAAAAGAAATATCTGCAAAGATGTGTCATTAGAAGTGTAAAGTTTAGATATTTTCTATAGTTTGGTTTTTAAGGGTTACTTTTGTTTTTACGAGTGTTGATCACAGATTGATATCAGTTGGAGAACCATTGAAAACCAGTACTCTGGAATACTGGACAGCTTTTTCATTGAAGGTTTTGGGAATCATCGGCTAAATGACGAATTGGTAGAAGTTAGAATTCATGAACCATTGAATCAGGTCTCAGTGGCTGAATGGTATACATGCTCGCTAGCCTTGTAACCGGAAGGTCCTGGGTTCGAACCCCACTGTGGTGGGTGCGTACTGATGATGGCTCCCGAAAACTAGGATGGAACACCTGTCCAGTTCTCCAGTGCTGATTTTCACTGGTTCTCTAATTGATATCAATCCGTGATCAACTCGTAAAAAGTTTACATAACAAAATACGTGGAAAGGGTTAGTCATGTAACAAGTAAAATGAAATTAATTAAGTTGAGTGACGTAATATCATCAACTGGATTGAGTAGAACTCGACTAAAAGTGAACGAGATTCAGCTTAACGACAATAGCTTTTTCTATCCAAACGTATCATGAAACATTCACCTTGACGGTTTTATAATA